ATGCTGTAGATGATAATGTGTGATTTTCAAAGGGAATTTCTGAAGCTGAAACATTTTCCATTAGAATCTGAATGATGTCGGCTGTGACTCCGTGACCAGGAACACGTCGCGCCTTTGTGTGCCTTTGGGTCACGTGTCACTCGAGCCCCCTGGCTTGTACACTATACACTGCAGAGTAACAGGAAAGTCTGAAGGGGAAGCAAACAGAAGATCTGCAGGATTTCTGTGCTGCTGATGACCAGCTCAGCTTAGAACAAAGCTTACCTGCCATCTGTAGCTACTGATGCAATGTTTTTTTTTTCCATTTTATGACATATTATCCCTCCCTTGATGTGTCTGTCTGGAACTCCTTTGATTCCTTTGACTCTGTATTGCTTTGTCCATGAGTATTACAGTCAAGTATTTAGTCTTGCAGGTGTGTAACTGACTTTAAAAGTCGGCCACAGGCCATGCATGAATAAAGCAAATTAAAATTCTAATCTGAAACTTTGCTTGTTAACTTATGCAGTTAATATGTTTTGCCAAAATCTATTGAACCAAAGGGGATAAAATATCCACTTAAAACTTACTTAGCATTTATCACTAGGAAGAACTGACTTACTTGTACACAGCAATTAAAGGACAGAAACATACAAAACAATACATTTTATGGAAAAGGCAGATAAACATAGTTGTCAATTCAAAGTCATGCATAAAATGATGAATTACGATCATAATTCTAAAAATACAATGAGAGCGAGTTACTAATTGAGCTATCTGGAAAAAGCCTCAAGTAAATCAAACATCACTTTGAGGCTCTAAGAGAAAAACGCTGTTATTGTAACTTGTAAAGAAAACTTCCTGCCCTCTAGCAATCTGCCATAATCCCATACTGAGGCCAAATTAAAATCACAGGATTCGAACTCCACTGCTGGAGCACACTTGGGCTTGTGTAAGTATGATGGCATATGTTGAGACATGTTTCATAAAAGTCAACAAATACACAGACATCTGAATTGATGTTTTACACTTGCCCACGTAACTACATTGTAACTATGTACACAAAATATTTTTTCCATAGAGCTTTTCTAATATTATGAAAAAGTTTGTTGAATGTGTACATAGTACAATGAAATTCTTTGACCACATAAACATAAAATTCTACAAAGGATAAATTAATGAATTGACTTTGATATTATAAGAAATTAACATTTAAATGAGAAACATCTTAATAGATGCTATTCCTGTCACATGGGGGTGGATATAGGGAGCATCGGAAAACAAATACTTGTTTGCTCTATAGTAGGTGAAATATAGTATAAGACGCAAGGAATATATCTCAGTTCTCAGTATGGGTGAGACAGAAGGTGAACGATACCTGGATGGCATATGGGTGCATGGGGAACTTCCTGTCGCAAGGTTAAATGTAACACTGACCTTTTACATAGAACCACAGGGTCCATAGAGCGCTTCTGGTCAGTTTACCACATCACCAGTGATGGTCTCCCACTAATTTTCAGAGAGATTGGACGTGTTTTCATTGCATGCAAGAATGATTTATCATATTTTTTTTCCGATTTCTGAACTGTGTAAGCAAATCACCGAATTCAATTTGATATTGCCTTAGTAACCATCTTGTTGTCAAAACATGTAACCATCTCATGGCAAGCATGAATCCTAGTCCATACTTCATTTTATGGCGTGCACTTTCAGGCTGGGGACAGTCCTCCGTGTGGCAGCTTGTGTTCATGCTACTTTTGGCTGCAGATGCTCCAGGTCAGCAGAGGGCAGATGTATTGCAACAAATACAAGCAGTGTAGTGAAACAGGTAAACTTATGAATAGTTTTAAAGTTACTAGTTAAGGCTTGGGCGGTATTTTGGTACTAAGGCACACCACAGTATTTTGAAATCCTTACAACAAAAGTAGCTGGGACCCCAACCTAGGGTTACCATACGTCCAGGTTTCCCCTGATATCCTTTTTTTGGGCCCCTGTCCAAAAAAAAACAGCGGTTTGTTCGGGTTTAGCACTGTAACCTGTATGATCAGGAAAGTTTGTAGCTATCGAAAAGATCAGGGGCTGAGTCAAACTTACCCGGGACTTGGCGTCGGGGCTAAAATACTCAGGACCATAGTCCCGAGTGATGGGACCTAACAACGCCCAAGCCTATGGTCCAGCGTTACTGTGGAGTACCAAGTGAAGGAAAAGGCAGGCACACATTTTCAATATTGAGTAGTCACTTGGTATCACCACACAGAGCTTGCAAGACTCATGCACACATTTATTTCAAAGTAATGTCAACTTCTGGAAACCATTGGCAATTTTACACTCTTTTTGTCAACAAGGGAAAAGTGTAAATCGTAATCAAATAAACTAATCGCAGAAGGAGCAGGACAATGAGCAACAAGTAGAACAATTAACAAGCACAGAAATAGGGAATACCACAAACAGTAAAACTAGAAACCACTAATCAAAACTCTGGGAATACACTAGTTTAATTTACAGAACCAAATAATACAAACAAGAAGTGAAGTGGAAAGCAAGTGAAGAGGAAAACAGGAGGACAACTAATAACCAGAAAAACTGTGTCATAGTGACATACCTGTAGGCCTGGACGATATGGCAAAAATTTATATCACGATATATTTCTTAATTTTGGTCGATACGATATAATTCCG